CCCACTTCCTCCCCTCGGAACGACGGCACCCCCGTTTCACTCGGGTCTTTATGTGAATTCTGCGGTGAATGTGAATGTGAACGTGAGTTATGTGAATTATCTGGTGGACGTTAAGTAAGGCTGCAGCACTAACTGAGTCCAAACCGGCGAGTCTCCGCCGGGCCGGCGCACCCTATGGTGCCCATCCTGCCGCGATCCGCCTGCGTGTTTCAGCGCAGCACACGCAAGCACGCACGCACGCATGCACGCATGCACACATGCACGCACACACGCACGCACGCACGGACACACGCACGGATGGACAGACAGTGTTCAACGATCAAAAATGTTGGGTTCGAGCATGACAGACTAGAAGTGATTGAAGTCCCAAGTTTTGTTCAAATCATAAAAACAACATGGGGTTTACATGCGATTACCAACCTCAGCACGATTGGCCTATGATAGTATGGAAAGAACTTACTTCAACTTCAACGACTGCTGACATAAGGAACGACAGCACTTTCACACGTGAAAAATAAGTAACAAACCCCTTTTGGAAAGAGGCAACCGTAGCTCACAGCGAGTTTTGAATTTATCAATTCCCAAGAGGAAAGAAATATAACCCAAAAAGTTTGGTTCGCGAATGTTTCAACGTTTGCTGACGCCATCGTATAAAACATGGGATGACAAAGGATTGAGTTTGTTGCAGACTATATAAATGACAGACGGGCAAACATCGTATTTCGAACTTTTTCGAACTTTCGCCATGTACGAAACGTCACCTGGGTGAAGGCGTTCCTAGCATGTTCTCAGCGCATTTGACTTTGAATTACGTTAGCGTTTCATATTGTTTACAAACTTCTCATCCACGAAAATTGGACGCATTATCCAGATGCGTCGTGGCAAAATGGCACATGTTGTGACGCTCCGGTCGAGCTTTATACGGAAAGCGCTGGTCTGCTTATTCAGCTCTGAAAACACTTAAACAAACTTATTCAGCCGTGACAGTTGCGAGCCCAGATGTGCCCCAGCTGTCGCGGCGCGTCTGCGCGTCTTTATACCACCCGCTTAAAAGCCTGGGCAAACGCGCATACACACGGGCAATGGGTTTGACCCGGACCCGGGTGGTCGGCTGAATGCGACGTGCTTTGGTGATGGAGGGTCAGTTTGACCTCCCTTCGGTGAGGGAGGGTCAGTGTGACCTTCCTTCGGTGAGGGAGGGTCAGTTTGACCTCCCTTCGGTGAGGGAGGGTCAATTTGACCTCCCTTCGGTGAGGGAGGGTCAATTTGACCTCCCTTCGGTGAGGGAGGGTCAATCTGACCTCCCTGAGATATGGAAACCTAGCGAGCTAGAGACACCACATTCATGGGATAGTATCACTCTATGTGAATCATTTTCTGTCACATTTTAAGATCGCTACATGGCGTTCTTCGGGTTAAATAGGGTTAATTAAGGTCAAACTCGACATCGCGTCCAATCCGACCTCAGGCCTTAAGCAACTAGCTTTAACCTAGAAACACTTTCTAAGCAAGAGGTCACTCAGGGTGACATCAGGTCAGTGACCATATCACCTTCGCTGACAACTATGGCCTGACTTTGACCCGCTACAGGTCAGCGATCGTGGGAGAAATATGTAATATTTTATGCTGAACGATCGGCAAATGAATTGTTCACAGCTATGCAAAGCATGGTGTCAGTGCTACATATTTATGTAACTTCCAAACGCACCCCCTGTTCTCTTGCATTTTGTTATTGCTACACACACTTGCACGCCTGCATTTGATCTGTGTTGTATGCATGCTGTATGGGACAGCACAGTGACGTGCCATGGGTGTAAAGCTGGCGGGGCTATGTTAGTCGACATCTGTTTCATATACTGTTTCAAGTTGATACTGGTGTGCGACTACGATGTGCCCGTGCGGTTTCTCATAGTGCAATGACCCTTATCACCGTATCATCAATGTCCTACGCAACCGTTATCCGTTATCCGTCCACTGTGATCTAACGCCAACTGAGGCATCCTACTGGTGCTACGCATGTCAAGAGACGGTCACTACTAAAATACCTCCCTTCCCACTTGCTCTAAGTGTTGGTGCCGAAATTTCTCTCAGCGATACCAACACCGCGTGCATCATTATCAATGTTCTGTTAACTGCTTTAAACGAAAAGCATGTTGCTAGGTCCAGTTTCAACGTCCATGTTTTCTGCTCAGTGCATTAACGGCGGTGCGTTTGTTACATCCAGTGGGCTAGATACTTGCTAGAACTTCCGCGCCGCCCGCAACGCCAGGTTGCCGTGAGTGATCAAAATGTTCCGCGTCACAGGGGTGCGGCACCGCAACCGTATGGCACTATCGCTGCTCATGCATTTTAAGGGCGGCATTAACGGATCCACCCGGGGTTCCGTGTTCAAGTGAGCTCACGCTCACTTCATGCTCAGGTCACATGGCCTGCATTCCAATGCGCTAATTTCCGTCGAGCCGACTGTCCAGACTCCACAGCTGAACCAGCCCGGTAGGATTTGAGCAGCAAAAAACTTGACTTATGCGACCGACTGCACTGATTACATAGGTCTGCACCGACTGCACTGCACTGTACAGGTCTGTGCGCGCATATATATATATATATATATATATATATATATATATATATATATATATATATTACAATGTTGCAGCGTGAACTTCCGCCGGAAATCCGTGCACAGAATGTTTTCCGCCGACAATCATGTTTAAAACCACGGCTTGAGTAATGACACAATTAGAAGCGGGGAAACTGTCAACGCAACGGATGCAGGGAATGCAGTGCAATGCAAAGCTTAGTATGCAGCACAACTGGGCAGTGCATCACTCGTACGACCAAATTATTAAACATGTGCGTATATCCCGCAAAAGGTCTGAAGTCTGTCTTTCCCCACGCTAATCCACGTCTTGTATTGCAGTGGGTAAGGGGTCTACGTAGCTTACATGGCGGTCTCCACCTTTTATGAAAAACCGGTCCAATTCGGGTCGCGCTGCAAACTCTCTCCAGCCAATGCTTATTCGTCCCCAATGGCACTGCAGAATCTGCTCCTAGTTACTCAAGCCATTCATATACGCTTTCACATACCTGATTCCAATTTAAAACTGGCGACTGACCGCGTTGGTTGTTAGGGAGCGAGCGCAGTGAATAGTGCCACCAAGGAAGCTAAGGCCCAAAATTACACAGGACACCAAACTTGTTTGCGTGTCAGCATTCCGCGAGGGACCACTGGCATGGAACGCAATGTTACTACCCAGACAAACATCCCCCAAATATCACGTGCATTTGCTTACGGTTTATATCATTCGAATGAATTAACAATATTCACGAGCAAGCAGCGACGCTTGCTTGCGCCTGACCCAACACCTGAACCCGCACCTCAGCAAGTCAGAAAGCCATATGAATACGTTCTACCGCATAGCTAGCGTCATTCTTGTTGCGTACGTGGTCGCGGTTATGTAAGCCTCGCCCGTCCCGCGACCGGAAACAAAGTTGCCTCGAAGAATCTTTCTCGGCTCGGCCTGGGGCAAAATTTTCGTCACGAGCGGCCCCGCCTGGTTGTCACGCTTCCATACAGCTAGTACAAAGTACTAGCTAGTACAGTAGTACTAGCTGGTACAGTAGTAGTACAGTAGCTAGTAGTAAGTACTAGCTAGTACTAGCTAGTACTACTAGTACTAGCTAGTACAGCTAGTCTTTGTAACAGCATATTGGTGTCAGATGCAGCTTTCAACAAGAAGCGTAATTCTTAAATGTAGTGTTGTGTAAGCTGCACTGCATCTGCAAACAAGCTCTTTAATCAAGCATAACCTTTCCGCGGCATTCCGACCTGAACAAATAGGGCCTTTCCCGTGAGCTTAACAAACAAGCAAAAAACTTGGAACTTGCGAAAAATGCCCGACCCGGTTCAAAATCGGGCTCGTGTCTTGACCTGCCATCGCTGTAGCACGAGAAAGTCACCGCTTGCTGGGGCGAAACGGGCATGCGCACCGGCAAACAGGTGACCTGACGTCACGCCATGACCTGCACATCATAGATCCCGGGTGCGCGCCGGCCTCGAGCGCTCGAGCGCGAACCATGGAGCCGCACGTCTTGCACGCGGTTAAGAATTGATGTCGGACACCGGGAACCAAACGGTTGCCAGCGCGCGCTGCACGTGAGGCGCCTACAAATGACAACACGGTGCCAATGATGAATGAAAGAGGTGCAAACGTGCACCGGTGATCAATCGGCCCGACATTGTGATATGTTTCGAAAACAGCCTCGAATAAAACCCGTCGTGCCGTAATCTGCGAGACTGAACAATGAAAACTACACAGGACTGCAGTTTGCCTCAATGTGGCCAACGTCCACATTAAGCGTCTCCATTTGAAGGGCCTGCATTTGAAGCGTCTGACTTTTGCAGCACTTTGGTTACACTAAAAAAAAATATCCCAAAGTTTTGATCTCCTCTTCCCAACCGTCTTCAGCCAATTTTCAACAGCGTGTTTTACGGAAAGTGCGACCACCGTACGAGTAAATCCCCGCCCGTCACGCCCTCATGAGAGACGTGTTTGTCCAGTCATCCGCCAGACCAGTTTGTATGAGCTCCACAAAACGCGTTTATATTACTTAAGTTTTTTAATAAACTAGAAACGACTGTTCGTAATCACGCCAGCTGTCATCTCACCGGTCCTCCGCTCCGCAAAGCGGCTTATTGATCATCACAAACACCAGTGTTCACAACTCCACGGCTTTAGAAACACCCGCGCCGTACTGACCACAGCGGGAAGAGCTTTCTAGACTTTCCAGCAGGCAACAGACACTAATGTTCCTGAGTTTTAGCGTGAGGTGGAGGGATCTGTGGGCAATGAGCAAAATTAACGGGCTCATAACGACCTTCACTGACTCGGACGAAGTTTCGTCCCTGCTGTGCGTCCCTCTATAGTCCACCACCGTCGCCACCGGCGTCAGACAGGCACCGCCGCCGCCGGCGACAACGCACACCTCCATCCGCTCACCTGGCTGGTTGAAGAGCATGATCAGCGCGAAGGGGAAGATGAACATGGCCAGGAACAAGACGATCTGGCGGCGGGAGCGGGCGCCCGCCATGGTGGGGCTGCTCAGCCCTGCCGGCCGCCGCCGCAGGCCCCTGCCGACAGAGCGCGCGCACGCCGGTCACCGCCCGCCACCGCCACCGGCGCCACGGCTGAGCCTGCACTGCGGCTCCTGCCGGCATGCCACCGACGCCACCGCGCCGCGCCGCGCCACGCCACGCCGCGCCGGCGCCAGCCGGCCCGGGCGTGCCGGCCTCGGCGGAGGTACGCTGGCGAGTACGGCACGGGGTCGGCCTACGCACCGCGCTGCTGTCAAGTGCTGGGAGAAAAGGCGGCGTCGCAGGCCAAACACGCGTCGAGGGACAGAGGGGCAGGTTGTGGAACGTGGCGTTGCGGTGCCCACGGTACTGTGTGATATGGGGCGACGAGTTTGGGGTATGCAGACTTCCGAAAAACATTAAAGGTGACCATAACTGGGGAGGGCAGCAGGCACCAAACTGACGCTGTAAGAAAATGACTTGCGCAACATCTTCCAGAAGCAAACCCCAATGTGTTAAGTATCATGCGAAGAGATATTGCACTGTGTACAGCACTGCACTCCAACAGCACTGTGTACATCTGAAATCCGTGGGAGACCAATTAAGACCCAGCGGCTGGCTATGCTGAAACAAACCGACCGATCGGCTACGCAAGTCCGCTGTGAGGCGAGCTTAACGGTCCGCCTAATGACCATTGAGCCCGCTAAGTACATGTCTTCGACAAGTGTTAGTGGTAATGGGCGCCGTTATCTGCCAGCTGGATTACACACGACGAAAAAAACATGTAACGCTGCCACGGATTATCTTGTCGGATGCAAGGAAACTTGATAGGGAAGCTGTCGAGCGTCATTTAGTTCTATCGTGTAATCATCAAATACGCATGACTGTAAGCACGACGCCATCAGGACAGCAGGCTTGCTTCAACAGCTTTTTTCTTTCTGGATATTCTTTTGATAGTTTCAAAAATAGTTTGCGTCAGAGAAAAACAGCGTACGCAAGACTACTGCACTTTTATCCCAATTTAGGTGTATCCATGTCGAATTTGTGTCCGTCCAATTTTTTTTAAATCTCGTTTATGTCTCTGTCAACTATTTCCGCTTTGGCTACTTTTCCTGTCGACTTTTATCCCTTTCAATAACTTGTGTTCGATTTTTTTCCATTCGGCTTTTCTAGTCGAACTTTGCCAGGAAATCGTCGCCTGCAGCTGGGGCGGAGAGGACAAGAAAGCATGGAGAGGGAGGGAACGACAAACGTGCAACAAACGTTGCACCAGCAAAACTTCACTTTGAGAGAGCGAGCAATGACAGTTTACCCAATGCATACAGAGACTATTAAATGCAAACCTACGGAGAATACTCAATCCGTGTCTACAGAGAATACTTGATGCGTACCTGCAGAGAATACTAACTTATCATATTCACAACAAAGATTTTCACCACGCGTAATCATCTCGTTATGCCAGGTGATTTGAGGGTCGATTCAGCCTGATACCTGCATCTTGGGTCAGCAAGTCATTACAACAGCCACTGATTACAAACACGAACTTGAGTTCATAATGAGTGGCATTCAGCAACGTCAGACCCTGCCTTTTAACGTCATTTACATTATGCTAAAACACTGATACATGCAAGGTGCGAGAAAATGGACGCCATTTGCAAATCAGCACCATCGATTCCACCTCACCTCACCTCCACCTCACATGTCATTCGTTACTGCGGTTCAACCTGTTCTCGTTAAACCACGAATCCCAGCAAATATGCCATACTTACGGAGCAAAACGCACACTGGATGCCTGTTCATCATTCACCTGCGCAAACTTGTCAACGTCTTTCATTTTGAGCACCGTCAACCGCGATTAACGACCGATAGACATTTTCGATTGGTGACCTCATTTGAACCCCAGTTGCTTGACCTATGACTGCCGCCACGCTACAGTCTCATAGCACCACCCTGGCTGATGGTAATATTCAATTCAATCCTTTAAAACTGAACTGCTCTACCGCTGGTGGGAGCAGACAGCTGGGGCATACCGCCTTCCTCCCTCCCCCCCCCCCCCCCCCCCCCCCCCCCCCCTCTTCTTCCCTCCAATAACCAGTGTCATAAAGAGAGAATGGCGGGCAATTGTGGCGTTGGAAGTACCTTCACACGCCGTTCCTTCGAATCCGGTTGCAAAGCGTAGAAAGTAACTACTTACTTCAGCGCCCTGCGATTCTTCTATTTACGGGGAGACCTGAAGTAAGGAGTTTCTTCACCAGGCATCCATCGGGTCTCATAAACGCAACTGCTTTGACCATGGAAAAGACAGTTACTACGAAACTGAAGTTAACAAAAAGATGCTCTGACCGGTCGTAAAATCATCAATGGTGATTACCGAGGAGCCGGCGCTTGGCCATGCGGGAGCGGAGGAACAGGCCATTCAGGCTCAGAATCAACCTGCAGTGAGAAACTGTTGCGCTATGAAGCGATGACAACACGGCAAGGGCGGACAAGTACGCATATGTGAGGAAATCAATGCAACTGAAATTCGCCATGCAACTTTGTGGGCATCACAAAGATACACCACGAGCTGTGGTGGATAAAGCTCGCAGGCCGTTATGAAAACCAACCTCTTTTCCCATGTTGCGGGTTTCACGAATTTGTTTTTCTTTTTTTTTTTTTGCTATGACACGGACAGACAAGATACAAGTCAACGAAGTGCACAACATTGGGTGAGGATAAAGTCAGCTTTTTCCGGGCTTTTGTCGTTAGGTGCATATTGCCTTCGCAAGTAGAACACGAAAGCTCAAGAGCACGAACACACGAACTAAACAGCTTTGTTTCCTTCCGCGAGTAGCGGAACAATGTCGAGATTTATAAGATGTGTGCATTTCAGCAAATAAAAATATGATCGTAATTGGTCTATGAATTTATGGCCACTCAAATTGCACATTCATTGCTGGCATTCCTGTATGTATCAGTGGCATCTTAATCTCTCGGGTCTAAAGCGACAGCATCGTTGCCATGGAAACGGCCGGTTGTACCGCTATTGAGCTCATGGCTACAGAAATAATATTGACCTTACTTCAACGTCTGCATTTTACGATTTACTTCGGAGTGGTGATGCCAGGGTTATGAAACTGGTGTAGGAGGTAGGTAAGTACGCCGAAATATCTTCGGCCTGCCAGAAGTAGAAACTTCTCTTTATGAAACTGGTTACTGGACGCGCGTTAAGTGGAGCAGCTCGGAAGGTTTGACGGCGACATACTTCCGTCACCGCTAGCTATGTTCCCCAGCGGTGTCCGGGAGGCTGCTGGTAGTTTTATACTCGCAATATCAGAGCGCACCCTATCGAATTTAAGCCCGCGTGTGCGCCAGGGGTACGTAGTATTTTGCTTTCGAGCGTGCGAATCAAGACCCTGTCACGCCAGACCTAAGTACTGTCGGAGCGATTTTGCAGCGCACCGTTGCTATAATCGACTTTCAAAACTTCCTGTCAGGTGAGACGACCGACCCAGTCGCAAGCGGCGGCAGCTTATACACTAGCAGTATCCTTCTCGGTTTATCTTGGTATCGCTTCAAATAGCTTCACTGCACTTAAAATAACTTCCACCCAGCACGTAGCCGTCACTCAGCCCGGGGGCCTATCGCAGCGGTGCAAGGTCCTACGAGATTGTCTTGTCTGGGGATGAGGCGGGGATACTTGTTTGCTGGCCTCAGATAACTCCTCCGGCGAACGTATGTGCGCCTGGGAGATATGCAGGCGGCTGGAGGAAGGGAGGTGACGAGCACTCTCGACGAGACTCCATACGCTAGGACGCCGAGCATGTTTGGACGCTGCCGCGGCTGAGCCAAGGTCACCAATTGTTCAGCGCGCGCTGGACCGGTGTTAGTGTGCAAGGACCGGCCGCCTGTCCGTCGTTTCACTATCAACAACAGCAGGGCCTACGCACCAAAGCCGACAAGGCCCAACGGTCCCTTTGCCACCGAGTCACCATTCTCCAGGAGACCGGGTGACGACTTCGCGAAAGATGGGCTGGGAGTCCGTTGCAGCAATGACAAACTGAGAATGAGTGATCGCCTCCTTCATAACACCGAAGCGTAGTATTTTTAAAAACGACTTTGAATTATTGCTTGCACACCCAAAAACAAAACAGTCGCAGGCCCCTGACGCACCCCCATGGTACTAAAGGTACAACAACCCCAACTGCCTCCAGGACAGTCCTGCATAACAGCCATTCACCCTGACAAACAGCCGTTGTCATACATCTCCGGAGCCCCCAGGCCACACTGTCCTCCAAAACGGCGAACCGTCCTCCTCACAGCTCGCCACTACGTCAACTGCATGGAAGTGGTAGACAAACCGATCAAACTCCATCGACCGACTTAAGAGCTCAGGTGAAAGGTAAGCTCTCCTGCACACAGCCCACGTCACCGCCAACGTATGACCTTTAATAAAAGTTGTCATGGCGCGATGCTTTCAAATGGCGCTCGTGTTGCAAGCCATAAACGTAGGTTGAAAGAACGTCAACGAATACGATACCAAAAAGATATGGTGGCGTTGCATGTGCAAAACGCCACAGCGTTACATACCAAGTGGTTGGCAAGGATCAGACGTCAAAATGACAACATCCACCGCATTTCAAGCGCATCGCGGCCAACAGACTTTATCAATACGTTTTTTACGGATTGCGGATCTTACAATAATTTTACTGTTACGTTGCGGCCCTATTAACGGTCTGTGGATTGTTGTATGTACCGTAGCTCAACGGCCTGTGGGTTGTCGAAGGCACCGCAGTTCATGTTGCGAGGCCTATGCTGGATACTGATTCGACGAGGGCGGCTTCCATTTACGACATGAGCCCATCTAGTTACCTTCGAAACGCGAAGCCCGCGCCATCACGGCGAAGATTAGGCTGCGGCTCGGACTTTGCACCACCGCCCGATCAAATATTCATATTTTCATCAAGGTTTCGCCATGAAGCTGTAGACAGTGAAGTGCATACAGGACACGTGCACAAGATCAGCCCGCCGGGACCAGTGCCGAGTGGCTGTGCAGTGAACTGAACAGGTCGCTAGCCGCCCCGATTCCAACACGCGATGATGGCCTCCCGCGGACAAGTCAGCCGTGAAGAGCGTAAGTCCCGTCAGGTGGAGTGCTCAGTGCAGACAGTGCTGCGGGCAGTTGCCCTCCCCCCCCCCTCCCCCCTCCCCCGGCAGTGAGGCACACAGTGCAGGCAGTGGGGCCGCCGCATGAGGCAAAGGCAAAGGCAAAGCTCACTCGCAGCAGGCTACCTGACGCGGCATGGCGGCGAGCAGCGACGCAACCATTCGGCCAACCACTGTGGGAACGGTCGGCACCAATTAACGGCGGGCGTACACACGCCTGAGTCTGGATTGGAGAAAAGTGAGGGCAGCGTTATAATCACAGCACTGGGTGGAAAAGGACGTCAGAGTGAATCCACAACCTCGTTGTTAAATGGGAACCACATTACGTAATACGCGAGCTGAAAGCGATAACTTTTCTACAACCTAACAATACTGACCACTGTAGTCACGCCACATAAGTGCCACGTATTCCATGCACTCAGGTGTCGGATGCATACATATGCGTTTACTGCTTGCGTGTCACCTTGACGGATAAAGCAGCCACGTCCCGCAGCGAAGCAAATTATATCATCTAAGCCTGGATGTAAAAGACGTCCTTGCGTGGTGCGAACTGTTGTGCACCCACAGCCTCGGCGAATGTGCGACAGGAAAACTGTGCGTATAAAGAGGTTTGTGATGCCAATGAATATGAGAAACCTACATGGTGAGATAGCATCGATATGCATGTCATTTTTAATCGCGCCGCCACGTTGTACAGTCGAGCCAAGTTGTGCCTCCATGCCCGGAAATTCGTTCGTACTGTATAATACATGCCCCAGCAAACCAAGACAGACCCATTTTTGCCTGGCATGTGTTGGAAGCAGCCATAAATGTGTCATCATACGGCAAACGACTATGAGATGAAAACAAAAAGAGCCGCCAGATGGCAGGTCATTACATTATCGTCGCCCAGGTGGCGCTGTTGGGCGACAGTGGCAATATTTGACGAGTGCGCGGAGCGACGACGAGCGTGCGTAGTAACAGGGAGACACCAACCGACGCATTCCTGGCATAGATTTACAAAACTCAAAGGGGGAAAGTGCTCATATTGTTCCAGGCATTGGTTGTCCGCCAGAATGATCGCATTTGCAGCAATGCCCGTCCCCGTGGCTCAGTTGGTTAGAGCGCCTGCATCCCGATCCATACAGCCATGGCAGGATGGGTTCCAGTCGCTTTAGGGCACTCGCTATTTGCCTTTGGCAGGTATGGCCTGCGGCCGTGGCAGCGGTCGCGCTAAAAGTCAGTTGACGTCAGAGGGCGGAACGGACGTCCCGAGCGTTGCGGTACGTTAAGCTCTCGCCCCTAAATTCTGCCGTTGCCTGGAATTGCGCGATCGAATGGTGGGGGTCAGGGCTCACACAACAAGCACTGCTTTGCGTGAGCGCTGATCCCAGAAATCCATCCATTCAAAGGGTTCGGATCAATTTGTTTTTAAATGCTTGCTATTTTGTGGTCAGCCTGCTGCTGAGATCGCAAATTCGGCAATTGTGGTCAGTTCGGCTACACATCCACATTTTCGAATGAAAAGTTCCATCCCAAATCCATGACGACGCAGCTTGTTCCCCAATGAATTTCGGCACAATCGGATTCCAGGAACCATGTTCCTTTCAGCAAAACCAAGTCTTTTCTGTTCATATTTGTGGTGAAGCACATCGACAAGACCAGCCCACGCGCCATTTAAACGTGTGAATAACCATGAATCAATTAAAAAATGTGGCAATCAATAAGGAAAAGACACCTGAAAGCACAACACTTTGCAGACCTCAAACAACGGCCCAAGCTCAGGCTACACTGAGCACCAGCATGGTGCGCTCCACTCACCCAGAAGGTTGGAAGACACAGTCCGAGCTGCTGGTTGCTGATCACATGTTGGATCACCCTCTGAAATGGAGGGTGTTGGGTCTTCATGTGGGCAGCACTTGTGGATGTGCAGTCATCCCTCCAGAGGGCAGCTTCAGACTGGACAGAGGAAGGTATGGGGCTGGGCCATGCAATACATGCCAGGGCTGAACACAATTAAGTCAGCATAAGTCCATGCCTGGGGCTGAACTGATGACCTTGTGGGTGGATGGAGACACATTGGTATTCTGTGCATGATGCTGAGGATTTGGGAGTCCAAACCAAGAGTGGGATTGGGCTGTCAATACAGGGCCAACATAGTCCCAAGGGGCTGTGACTAAAAAAAAAAATGGATGGAGGTCTTCACATTAGCACAGATTTTGGGGACAGTTTGCTATGGCCCAAGGGTTTTTGGTTGTACTGAGATGTGGCTGCAAAGATCTGTGGATCAAAGAAGAGGCAAAGGACACACCTTGAGTACAAACTATTATGTGCTAAATGCACAAACAATAAGCAATGCAAGAAAACTTTCCATGATTTTCAAGTGTTCATAAGGTGAGTTTAGATTTCAGCTTTATTTTGCTCAAATTTTGACTTATAGCCCATGTATCGGTCCTCATGCCTTCTATGCACCCAAATGCACAGTGCCAAGTACTACAGTGCATTTTCTGATCCTATGTTTTGTTTTCTCTTTGCCTCTTATTCAGCAAGCATGCTACAATGTTTCTGCAGTAATGTCTTCTACCAACACTGGATCCATATTTCAGCCAGATGCACGAGCACTACAGAACATTATTTGTTATAATGTTATATACAGGGCAGTGGTGTGTCAAACCTTAAGTGCATAAATTGCAATTTTAGCATTTGTCTGCACTGCTTGAGTTTCAGTAGCAGCATTCATTAGCAACCATTCTGCTGGCTCATAGAATGGTATGGAATGCTATCCTGAGATAACATATGTGCTAATTGGACAGCAGCATCTGAGATGGCACATGTTTGCTGAGTTTATTATTTAGTATTGGCTCTCGCATTTACATGTGCTGGCTACAGCTCTGACCTCAGCAAAGCAAACAATGAATCCAGATGTCTAGCAGGATTCTAACAAACAGGTATTTCACATCCATATTCCATCGCATGCAGTCCCAGCAAAAAATACATTGCTTCCTTTGTAACTCACTGTCATATGAAAGCAGATCAGGCAGACTTTGAGGCAGCATTACCACCAGATCATACATAACACGCTAAGCGAGAGGATCTTTAGATCAATTGGCGATTCGGATGCTACTTACACATACCTGCGCGTGCCGACTGGCAACAGGCGGTGTCTGAAAGCTGAGACTGCCCAGCTTCTTCCGATGATGTGCAATATGTGAGTACTAACACAAACACATCACCTTGATCCACAGATATCGCAGCCTGAGCTTCTTCTACTTTTTCAGCCTCTACTTTTTCTAGAAGAACCACGGTGCGCGTGGGTGGTACGTAGCTTTCACATTCAATGTGCCTATCCACTGCAATCACACTTACACTTTCAGGGCCTTGACCCCAAAGTCAACAGACGGCGACGCATGTGCCCATCGCTTATCTCAAATGGTCAAAGCTAATGTTTGGGCGACAGCGAAAACGGCCTGTCTGGGGGAATACCGCACCGAGATATTCTCAGAAAAGCTGCCAATTTGTGGCAGCCACAGCGGCCACGAATGCTTTCCCTCGGGTCTCGAAATCGTGAGCGCGATATCTAGAAGAACCGGGAGCGCATTCATGGTCGTTGCAAGTGCAATTAAAGGATAGCGGTGCTGTTTAACCTCGAAAAAGTTGGAGAATTCCTAAGTCCTGAGCGCGCAATCAAGGCCATTAGGGGTACCCGCCCACTTAAAACGTTGAAATTAGAGATTTATAGTTAAGAAATGCAGCAGTGACCTAAATCTCTGAGGATCCCAGTTGGAAGCGTGGCGCAGACAAGCTACCGGCGCTCCAAAATTCCGGTGTGTTCCTCGGCGTGCCGCGGAACGGCACTAGGGTCCGCGTCCAGCCTACCAGCGTCACCGGTCGGATCTTGACTACCATGCAGGGCCGAGGAAGGATGCGCACGGGCCAGCCTCCCAGAAGGATGGGGTAGGGCAAGTATTAATATACCACCAACACAGCTCGGCGCCAGGCGGCTCCGTAAATCTCGAGAGCATGCGTTGGCGAAAATTGGTCCTGGGGCCGCTGGTCGGTTATTCCCTAAGGGCCAACAGTTCACCGCCCTCTACGATTTTTTGTACGATTTCGAAGATCGAGAGCTTACATTGAAGCACAGTTTTCAGTACGTTTCCACACGAAATTTCTACATACGTTTTCGAGAAAAAAACATTTCGTGCCGACCATAGGCCAGACGCGAATTTGACTTCACCATGATTTCATTTGTTCGCTTTCTTAGATTTTATTCGTTCGTTTTTTAATTCGTTCCATTTGTGTTTAAGGTATTTTGCATTCCTGGCTGGCTTTGCACTCCTTGGTTATTTTCACTTGCCAGTCTGGTAGTTCGTTCGACTGACATCACCTGTCGTGGGTGTAACCATGTTTTAGAGATGAGGTCGAGAAAACCTGAATTGAAGGAGTCGGACTAAAAAGAACACGCGGGTGAGGGTAAAATTGCTGGTAATCTGACCAGAAAGTGGCATTTAAATGGAAAAATATTAAAACCAGGATTTGACGGGAAAATTGATAGGTACAACGGTTGTTTTGGGAGAATTTGGGAGGCATGTTCTCCTTAGCCTCCCTTCCCTCCCTGTCGTAATAGCTGGTGCCACATGAATGTTACCAGATACAGGTGACACTAATGTCACCTATAGCTGGGTATCGCACATGTCGGTGGCATTGTGAGGATAAACAAAAGAACCTCGTTTTAGTTGTTAAGACAACTTCTAAAGATGCCATGTCACTGCCTTTGAACACATGTGCTGTGTTCTCGGTGATCTGCACGCTTTTCAGCGTCACCTGGATTCCCAAGGACTTCAGGCAGTACAGGCATAGGTCGCTGTTATTGCAGTGTCCAGAGCGTTATCCAGCAGGGTGGAGAAGAGGTGAGATTATAATCATGATGCCTTATGGAGGACTCTTAGCAAGCGAAGTGCGATGTTAATGGGTTACACAACGCTGCATTAGCCCCACTGCGAAAGTTCAAATACTGTCCTGACTTTTGTAACTCAACGGATTTCACTTACTTTTATAGGAGCGTTCCAAAACACTGCCTCTAGTACAAGTTACTCTGCTCTCTTCGAAGTCCAGATTCTAGAGATGCCATTTCTGGCAAGACTGACCATTTTAGGAGAGCATGACCCAGTTGCCCTCCTTTTTTCTGGATCCCCCTTGACTTCGTCTCGTAAAAATACCTAGTGGTAACACCACACGAAACACGGGAATCAGGACGTAGAGTCAAACGACCGGGATTGCAGCGGTATCGAGTGTTACGTATAGATGTAGCGGAAGCTAGCCCACATTCAGCCCAGATTAAGCCCAGCCCAGACATGGCAGCATAAATGTAGGGAATTCCCTTTACGGGCCAATATCTCCCCTGGGATAACGAAATCCTGGACTGGCGAAACGTCACCTGAAAGCTCTCTTTCGGCCAAAGACAACAGTGCACAGAAAAATCACCTACCTTGTCTAGGGGGAAAGCTATAGACGATCCGAAAAATCATGTCTATGGGGTGGCCCTGCGATTTTCTTCAAAATTGCGTCATCGAACCATCGACAGATACGCATCAATCCGGCTGAAGAAACCCTATGGGGCATTGATATTCAGGGGGTCAAAAACCCTTAGGAACATATATAACGGGGTTTTGCACTTACTTAACGGTAAACATAGGCCGAGTTGCATGTCAAATGGAAGCACGTGGCATCCCAAATGCAGACGTGCAAACCCAAAACCCCTATCTTGTCTAGGGGAAAAGTTATAAACGATCTAAAAAATCATGTCTATGGGACGACCCCTGCGATTTTCTTCAAAATTGCGTCATCGAACAATTGCCAGATACGTATCAATCCGGCTGAAGAAATCTTACGGGACATTGATATTCAGGGGGTCAAAAACCTTTAGGAAACATACATAACGGGGTTTTGCACTTACTTAACGGTAAAGATAGGCATATGTTTGCTTATTATTTATAGAGACATTTCTGCTCACAAATTTCTCTAGAATGCTGGCCGTTTTCGTCGTCAAGATTCGTTTGACCGTTTGAGACACGCTTGCTCTTCATGGCTCCGTGTATAACAGGCACGCAATGCAGAAACAGTCCGGCGATTTGACCGTTGTCATCGGTATGTACTGGGCCAGGCCGCCGTTGCCCGCACTACCTTTGGAAGAAACATAGACTCGAATCATTTCTTAACTAATATCGGTGAAGCTACAAAATCGACACCATACGATGCGGTGTACATTTCTCTATTACAAAACTTTTTGCCTGTTTTCCTCCTAACGTTTCCCGCTCACACCATGTGCCACGTGACATCAGATCATACAGATCCGCATTCTTGTATCCTCTCCTAATCACGAACGCTTTCAAGCACTTTCAAGCGGTTTAAAATGCTCGCTTTTACTGTTTTTACGATGATACTGCATATGCTCGCCGGAAATGACTACGTGACCACGATTCATCTGGCAGAAGCCGCTTTCTTGACACAAGGTTGATTCCATATTCGGGTTCACTGATGAATAAAGAGCATGAAGCGTGAAGCCAGTTCAGCAGCGATGCAAGTACGCATGTGCAGTACTGGATGCAGCTTACAGTTACTTTTTACAACAATAACAAAAACATCTGCAATGAGTAGGGCTGACAATCTTTGCGCCCCCCATCCTGTCCCACAACCATGCATAGAATCAATTTGAGTCTCACTAAATGGCCCCAACTGGGGAGAATTGGTCACAGCTCGTCTGGACTCAAATGGTCACCAGCATGTGATAACAGCTGATCTACCAATTACAATCTCGCACACCTTACCTTACTTACCAAAAACAGTCTTTTTCACTTAAAAGTACACCAGTAGTTATCAGTAAGCCTGTTTCATCACACCTGATACTTGCTTTAAGATCTTAAAATGTGGAATATTCTCTACAGCAGAGCACAGATCACTGGCAGGTCATTGACAGATCCCACGACCCGAATAGTGGCGTGATCTAAACAAAAAAAGACGATTTCCTATAGCTGGACATCAAATTTGACCATTTGTATATGGCACCAGTTGTTAAGCCTTCAGCGAAGGAGGGCGCATTTTCCGCGCAGTCGTGCAGTTGCCGCAGCCGTGCAGTCGTGCGGCCGCCATCATCGAGTGGTGCTGGCTTGGAGAAGTTGGTCGTGCGCGTCACGTTGGTTCACCGTAACGGAGGCGCGATGCATAGCTGCCAGCTATGCTTAGTGTGAGATGGGTGCTATGACGCCACACAAGCAGTTCTCCGACAAACGCGCATGGGGCGTGGGACAGCGACTCGGCGGAACATGCGGTGGGATGTTCCACACGACGGGTGATGACAAGCAAAGAGTCGTTACTACCCCGTAGGTGGCCAGAGAACGTCTGTGAGCTGGCCGCTTGACCGGCCGCGGTGATCCCTCGAGTGAATGGTGAGGCAAGAGGGTCGGCACTCACTGAAAGGGTAACGTCAGACATCTTCCGTTCTTGGAGAGTAATGCTCGAGGCGATTGTGAATGCTAAGGGTTCTACCGAGTCGTGAATGGTCGGCTTTCCTTGTTACCCTTCTGGCAATTGGTAAATCACGCCGGTCAACTGTCCTGCAAAAGATAACAGACGGTAAAAACCCACCTGCATGTGGTGATAAAATGAGCGTATTCTTAAGGCGGCCTCGAATACAAAGCGCCTAGCACCCCGTGGGAGACGAGAAATGTATGTGTGCGTGTTACACGCTTACCGCGGTTTTAGATACAGGAGAATAGTAAGACGTTTTCAGTGCAGCAACAAATAAAAGACAAGTCAATGCATGTAATTAGGAAAGTAGCTGTCTTATGGCACAACACGCCGTAAGAGCTGTTTAACCGAAACACGCCAAAGAACCGCTCACCGGCGACGATGTTAAAACTTACGAGTATTTCGTCGCTCAGAGCTTAAAATAGTTTTGAGCCTCCAAGTGTTTTGCGTCATGTACGATAAAATACTGTCATTAAAATGAATGCTGCTCGAGTGGCGCAGGCAGGATTTTGTTCAGGTGGTGCTAGGAGGCAGCACCCACCCAACCCCATGAGTGACATCACACCTGTCAACGTCCACCATCTTTTCCCCATAACTCACATCCCTAATACCCAAACACTCGAATCTCCCACACGCTAAGAAGCCCCACTCCCCACTTGTGTACCACCTCGGTGAAGCAGTCATTGTGGTGGCGTAGCGCGTGCCAATGTGGATAGGAGGTACATGGCTCAAGCCTTACCTCTGAAGGCCTTTCCTCGATTGACTTATAACCAGGATATGGCAGCAACTGGGCAGTGGAAGTCCTGCTGCAGGATTAACGCTGCACCAACCGGCGCCGTGGGTTCACGGGCATAGTCTGCCATTAAATAACCCTCCAGT